ACTACTTTAATGGTTACACATACTTTGGAAGGGCATGTCGGGGCATGTCCCTTAAATTCTCATGAAGGACAAGGATGACAATTAAGTTGGTATGAGACTGACATTAAGCACTCATGCAGTCAGCAAAAAAAAAAAGAAGAGAAGTTATGAGATTAGTATTACATGCCTACACACAAGCATTGGTATGGATAGAGATGTTAGAAACCCATACGCTAAGTCGAGTTTGGGACAACCGATCTCTGACGTACAAGAGTAGTAGAGTTTACTAAGGGAGATGTGACATCGGTTCGGATTGAACCAAAGTTTTGTTTAAAGTAAATAAGAGATTCGTGCCAACGAAGGACGAAGATATATTAAGCTGGAATCAAAGGTCAGGTGTTTTGAAATTTTAACATCCTAGGAACTGTCGTATCCTTATGAAAGGGTGAATGAAATCTACACTACATCGGACTAGCTGAAATTCTAGAAGGAATGGATGCCATATTATACCAACCATGATTGACTCCAGAATTGGAAATGATACTATATGGAATTCTTTACATCATGCTTAAAGAGCATGTTCAAAATTCATCTCGTGTCATGGAGACACCATTAGTACAGAAGAGTGGATAATGGGAACTATGTTGGACAACCAACAATGACATTGGATAAACAAGTGAGAAAATTGAGAAGCATGGGGGTTTCCAATGGTTAAGACTTTGGTTACGAATTTGAGTCGAAGTGGAGGCTCAGGAAATTATGGTTCTAAGAATAGAGCACTACTTCGTATGCTTTTGAGTATCGTTGCGAATTTCGGGGACGAAATTCCCGTTAAGGGGGGGTGAACTTGTGACACAGCATCCGGATGTACTTGAATTTGAAATTCAATACGTATTTGAATTTTCTATGCGAATATTTTTGTGTGCAAAAACGATATATTTAATTAATGAATGATTAATTAAATTATTTATCGGGCCCATGATACTGAGAGGGGACTACCGAATATTTAGTTGGTTCATCATAATAATTATAGAAGCCCAATAAAGTGCCAACCAAAGTTCAGGAAAATGTTTGGGCAACCCAAGGGTTATTTTGACCCAACCTGCCAAAAATAGCTGGAATAATTGGGAGAAACTTCCTACACCCACTTGAGATATTTTACAAGTCAACTAAGCCTCAAATAATATGGAAAGGGGGACAAACCAACATGGTTGTGCGGACAAGTGAATAAGAGGATGGTTGAGGACAAACCACACCTCTCATTATCCTACTCATACATTATTTCTCAATTTAATTGAGAAGATATCCTCCCTCCTTCATTTTTGAGCCATACGAACCAACCATAGGGATAAGGAGCTCAAGGAAAAGCTCTCACAACCAGCAAACTTGGAGGAAGAAGAAGGATAGGAAATCCAAGAGGAATTAGCTAGGAAAAGAGGTAAGAACACAAATGTTATCTCTTAACTAGTTTTATGTTTAATGATTTTTTAGAAATCATATGATGGATTAGACTTGAAGTTCTACACGTTTAAAAGTGTATAATATTGATATAAAGTGGTGGTATTTAACTTAGAAGAGTTGTGGAATCGATAGGAGTTGAAATCGCCGGAAACCGCCATTGTTGGGGACTGTTTTCGAGCTGCAGGCCCGAAAGCCGCCCACCTTTTGCAAAAGCCGCCCGGCTTTTGTCTGCTGTCCAGAATTTTCACTTCCAATCGGCCTAGAACGGGGATTGATCGAAGGGCTTAGCAAAGGCAACTAGTTGAGCACATCATAAGGTGAGGATGGCTGACTATATTGTTTATAACTAGTGGGTTAATTCATGAGATTACCTAATGTTATAAAAGCATGATTTTAATTAACTAATATGCCAAGTAAAGTGTCAATTGATCATATTGTTGTATATGAAGAGTTGATGCATGATTGATTGGGGTATGAGTAATTGGAGCATGATTACTTGATATGTTTGAGGAGTTGTTCTAGTTGATTTAGTGATGAACTAATAAAATGTTTTTATTAATCACTATTTAATTATATTGATTTTATGGTTAGTAAAGTCAATATAGAATGGAGTGAGAATGAGTTATGGCATGGCCGCCACGTTTGTTTAAAAGGGAAAGAGAATTTGAACTAAGAATAACTCGGGTGATACTAAATGACTAGTCCGAGGTTATAATATGAACATTTATAAATTAATCCTAAGTTTAGGATTGTGATGCTTCGTCACTAGGGTATTCAATTGGGATAGCCTTAGATGATTTAAATGATATAATTATCCTAGGATTGGATTGTTGATATTATTATCCGGGTGGTCTTTAGGATACCCGTAATTGATTGTTTGATTGGTAGCAAGGGTCATGGCTTGGCTCTAGTCTAAGGATAGATGCCCGACCCCATGAACTTGCTAATATAGATAGATGAGGGTCATGGGTCGGACGAGTCTGAGGATCGTGCCGGACTGCATGGGCCCACAATAGGATAGATGTAAGGACCATGGCCCTACTTGGCTCTAGAGAGCGAGATGGATAGCATGGACTTACAGCGTGATCACGTATAAGGGTGGAATCCGAATCAAAGACCTTGCGAGGCTTTGACAGCGGTAACACATAAGATAGGACCCCGAATGGGCCTTACCTTCCTACGGGAACAGGGTATGAGTCCAGGGGCAGGATGCTGGACTCCGACCGGGTGCTCCATGGAGACTTGGATAGCGGTGACAGGTCCTGTATGAATTATTGCAGGGCAATACGAATTATCGCAGGGCGATACAAATTGTATTTTTAAATTATCGCAGGGCGATACAAATTGTATTTTTAAATTATCGCGGGGCGATACAAATTGTATTTTTTTTGAATTATCGCAGGGCGATACAAATTGTATTTTTAGATTATCGCAGGGCGATACAGATTATATTTTGAATTATCACAGAGCGATTTGAATTGTATTATTAAATACAAACGGGGAAATAAAATATCGCATGGCGATGCAAAAGGGTTTTGACAAAATACAAATGGGCCTATGGGCCGATTATTTGACGATATATACTTATGTATGATTTGAAAGGGGTAACTATGGGTTATTTCCTAGTATTATGATAACACCTATGTTGAGGGTCTTACGGATTGAAACATTAATTATATGCAGTATAGTTGTCATTGTACTTTTCAAATGCTTCAAAGTACTGACCTCCCCTTCACGGGGGAGGCCACCTCACAGTTTTCAGGTAGAAGCTAGAGCTTGCTTCCTGTACCCGTTGCTTCGGGAGTTCTTGGAGAGAAGACGTGGTTCGTGCTTCCTCCGTTCTGTTTTCAAAACAATTACAATGATGCTCATGGATAATGTTTTCTAATAAATTATTGAGGGCTTGTATGCCCAAGTTTGCCAAGTGTGGCTTGAACACTTGTAATATTGTTTCCGCTGCTTTAATGAATATTTTACATTATGTTTGTTTATGGATGTACTATGTGTGAATGATATTCCAGACGCCTTGTATAGTATGGAGGTGTTAGACTGCGGTTGACTATTCATACTGTACGGCGGATTGTTGACGTGTCCGGGTAGGTCCGGGGCGTGACATGTTCGCTATAGAGGGAGTATGTGGGCCGATGGGTTCTGGGCTATATACTCCATCAGTATGTAAAATGAGTAATAAAAGTGAGAGTATAAAAGTATTTTGATTGAAAAAACTTACTAAAAAGGAAAGAGAAACAAATAATTAGAAACATTCCAAAAAGAAATACTGGTATGAGACAATTATTAGAGAACGAAGGGAGCAAGTAATATTTTTCTGCATGACATCACCCGCCATTTTAGAAACAGTAGACTATGAGGCCGTCTGTTGATTCTAGTTTTCAGCTTATCAGTCAATGTTTTCACTAAATACGTAATTTTTTATTTCGAGTGCTGGATTGTAACAATAAGAAAAAGTAAGTGAAATTGAAATTACTTTTCTAGCTATATTGACAGAAGTTACTGTAGATGATCATTTTACATGTTTTTCATATAATTTTTATTTGTTATATTAATAAAATTTTCATTAATCCGTAGACTTAATCAATCTAGTCAGAACTTTATAAATTTCAAGAGAATCAGCTAATCCAGCCCATTTGAGTATTACTAAACGGGCCCCACATTATAAGTAAGCATGTGTATTTAGCCACCTCCACTCCATTTTACATTTTAGCCCCCTTAATATCCATTTTAAAAGGCTTGACTCCTAATAGGACTATAGGAGTAATGGGCTAGTACTTTTAGACTACAAGGTAAATGACTCTATTTATATTTATAAAAATGCTTGGTATACACAAAATGTGTACACATGTCCGTCCTTCACAGAAAATTTGTCTGTCACAGACAACTCATTTTGAGTTGTCTGTGACAGACAAATTTTCTGTGAAGGACGGACATGTGTACACATTTTGTGTACATATTTTATGTACATATTTTGTGTACCTCTAACAAAACTTTTAGATTTATCCTTTTTTGGTTGGTCAAAAAAAGAATTACCCTTTTTTGGGTGCATGCATGCAAATATGTAGGGGTGAGCGCGGTCCGGCCCGGTCCAATATTTGGCCGAACCCGTACCCGTACCGTTACTATTCAAACGGTTTGGTTCGGTTCGGTCTTAGACCTAAACCCGTTCTGTACGGTTTCATTTTGAAACGGGACGGTACCATGCCATACCAATACCAAACAATGCCACTTTTTTCAAGTGCTTAAGAGGAAATTAAAGTTTATTCATCCTCCAAAAATCGACACAATTTATCAATTTTAATACTCATTTTATCCCAAATTGACATGCAAAGTCAATAATTTTTTTGTCAACCATGTTAAAATTAAATTCTCTTTATTGATAATTGATTTATTTTGTAATAATTAAAATAAACATATTCAGAAACTACATTGAAATCTCTTCAAGGTTGCAAGCTCCAAATTAAATATAATTAAAAAGTGACATTCTAGTTAAGTGAATAAAATGAAACTGTTTGACCAAGAAAAGTTAATTTTGCAAATCAATTTGGGATGAATGTAGTATTTTACATAATTAATAAATTTCAGATAAATTATAGTAGTACAAATATAAATAATTAAACCATACATCGGTCCGATTCCAGGCTTCCTATGAATTAGCAAAGACAGTGAAAATGTGAAGATAGTAGTCAAAGTAAGGGTATAAATGTAAATTTAAATCATTGAATCATACTTCGGTCCAGTTCGGTCCGGTACCGGTTCTCATTTTATGAGAACCGGTCATGGCATTGTTTAGAATCGGTACGGTTCGGGACAAAAAAGATTGAGATCCGTTTCAAACCCCATTTTTCGGTCCGGTACCATATCGGTTCGGTATTTTTGTCCACCCCTACAAATATGAAATATATCAACTACAGTGGGCTTTTGATTCGGTGGATTCTAGCCTCCGTCTCCTTGAAGGAGTCATATATCCTTATAACTCTTGATTGCTTCGTGCATATTATACTCCAATTCTCCGTAGTTTCCCTAAACTTATTTTGTCAAGACAAGCTTACCATAAGGCGGTTCGAGAATCTAGGGTTAATTAGGGCACCAACGGAAGGTTGATTGAGGATTCAAAATGGATGATCAGATACTGAAGACACAGGACGAGAGGAAGAAAATGGAGCAGCAGCTTGCTTATCTGAATCTCACTGCCGTGACTTTTGATACTGATCTGTACAGTTTTGACAGGTTTGAGGGTTATGAGAAGTCGATTCCCGTCAATGATGATGAAGATGCTTTTGAGAACACGGAGAGTGAGATTGCTCGAAAGATGGCCTCGTTTACGGCCCCAAAACAGTTCTTAACCGAGGCTTCAAGGGGTGGCGGACAGGAGGATCTGAAATTAGGGTTTCGCGAATCGAGAAAGATCGTGGATCGAGAGGACGAATATCGTAGAAGAGGGAGATTGAACCGAGTTTTGTCTCCGGATAGGTATGACCCGTTTTCAGATAAGACACCCGGCCCGGATGAGAGGACATATGCTGATGTTATGAGGGAGGAGGAATTGATGAGGGAAATTGCGAAGAAGAAGGAAGAAGAAGCAGCAGCAGCAAGGACAAATGCAGAGAAGCTATCGGCTCACAAAAGGAGGAATAGGTGGTACGAGTCTCAGGATAGGAACAGCGTGAAAGAGAAAAAGGAGGCCAAGCCTGATTCTGACTGGGACCTGCCCGACTCAACCCCAGCAATCGGAGGGTGGGATGAGGATGCAACGCCTAAGTATACTCCTGGGAGGGTTGGTGACCCTACTCCCAGTAGGGTGGCTGATTCAATGGCAACCCCTTTGGGTGGCGGAGCTACTCCAGGTGCTGCCCCTGCTGCAATGACATGGGACTCTACCCCAAAGAATTTGGGCTCTCCTACACCTGCACCTAAAAGGCAGAGGTCAAGGTGGGACGAGACTCCTGGAACCATGGGAAGTGCAACATCAATGGAAGGTGCTACCCCATCAGCGGCTAATACACCGGATGTAACCCCTTTTGGTGGAAGTGAACTTGATACCCCAAGTCCTGGTTCCCTTAACCTCCGTAGCTCTTACACTTTTGCTGTCCGGGTAACGGACATGAACCACAGAAGCCTTCCCTTAACAGATGAGGAGCTCGATATGATGCTTCCTCAAGAAGGATACAAGATATTGGAAGCCCCATATTCATATTGTCCTATCATAAACCCTGCTAGAAAACTTCTTCCAGAGGAAAACAGGGGCCGACAGTTTGACATGCCGAAAGCAATGCCTGGTGGGATTTACCACTTACTTTGAAACGTGATGATTACCAATACTTTGGCTCCTTAGCTTGTAGAATGAGGAAAATGAAGAGGAGTTGTCACCTGATGAGCAGAAGGAACGGAAGATTATGAAACTCCTTCTGAAGGTCAAGAACGGCACACACCCTCAGAGGAAAACTGCTTTGAGACAGCTGACCGATAAAGTCATAAAACCACAGATTTAGGTGCAGGCCCGCTCTTCAACTCTTGAGATACTATGTATATACTTGGTTAATAATGCAAGTTTGATTAGTTGGTGACAGGTTGTCTTGTTTTCTTCCTAACTTTCTGGATGTAAAAAGGGGTATGACCCTTCTATCAATGTAAGAAAACCTTTTACAACAATAATAACATTACAGTTAGACAATTATTCTTTTTCCTTTGTGTTTATCAATACAGTTTTGCTTTTTGAGGGAATTTATCAAGACAGTTAGACAATAATTCTTTTTCCTTTTAGAACAATAATAACAGTTCAGTTAGCAATTATTCTTTTTCGATTGTGTGAGCACGGAAGGTGTGGAGCCTTCATTGTTTTGTAAAATTAGTTTTTCATTGATCACTTATTAGGTAAAATTAGTTATTCTTGTTCTTTCAACCATTCTTTTGGTTTATTGTGCTTTTCTGGCAGTCCTTTTCTGTTAAAATGTAATTAGGCTTAAATATTTATAGCTTCTTTTGTAAGTTTTGTGTTTTTCATTTCAGTTTATGTTATATATTGTGGTTTATTTGACTATATTTTTTAATGATAATCTAAAATTTGTATTCCGTATATCTTTTTGCATGCCCATAAGGTGTTCATTAAAATGTAAATAAATTGTTATATTGAATCACCCTATAGATTTTAAATCTAAAGAAATCAGTAACCAAGGTTAACAACAATCATTGGATTATGTATGAAGGTGAATGATGATTGGCTTACATTTCATATAGAGCCCGTTTGGTAGCACCAAAATTGGCTGTTTTGGTTGATTCTGCTGAAATTTATGATATTTTGGCTGAAGTGGCTGTTTTGGCTGATTCTGCTGATTTAAGAAAAAAATATTTTAAAAATATATTTTATTAATAAAATAAAGAAAAAATTATATGTAAAAATAGCTAAAATGGTCATCTACAGTAACTTCAGCCAATACAGCCAGAAAAGTAACTCTAACCTTACTTTTTCTGCTTATTACACAATTCAACGCGCGAAAGTAAAAGTTACGTGTTTGGTGAAAAAGCTGACTGATAAGCCTGATAAGCCGAAAACAGAGGTCTCCAAACAGGCTCATAATGCACTGCTATGTGATGTTGTGATATTAACTGGCTTCCAACCTGGCTTATAGTTCATTCATTTTATATGGATCTTTGAGTAATTAAATTATTAACCAGCAATTTTTTCGACTGTTTTATACTTCATAGTTCTTTGCTGCGCCAGCATTTTTTTTTTAAGAAGACAAAACAATGTACTCCGTAATATTGTTTAGAGGACTCTGGGACTCTGCGTTTCTTCTGAGCTGGGGAAATCTGAATTTAAGAGAAAAGAGTCCATACCCTCCTTGCTTTTTCAACCAGATCTGCATAATTTAGGGATCAATGACACTTGAATAGACATAACAAGCATTACGGATGAGAAAGCTAATGGGGAATTTGGTGAGGCTTCATCTATCCACGAGCACAGTAAGGGAAGACATTGTGACTGACTGTTATGCAAGGGCAGTCATTGAGGCATCCCCTCTTGAGGAGATTGATGAGAGGAGCATCACCTTGGCTGAGGAGAAAGACAACAATTCAGGGGATGTCCCTGAGATAGCACATATCCAGATGTCTTTTTCCACACAGAAAAATATGGTCTTAATTAAAGATCAGGTGCTACTTGCCTGTTTAGGTGATCATAACTACTCATTCCGTCCTGTTAAGATTGTCTCATTTTTCTTTTCGGGAAATTCCACTAAGATTGTTCTATACCAAATGGAATGAGTAGAAATAAAACAAGAAGTGAAAATTGTAAATAAAGATGGATTCTTATATTATATATATGGAGGTAAGGGTCAATTGAGTACATCAACTTGTATGACATGGAGTAAAGAGTACACTATATTGCATTTGATCTTTTTAAGTACACAAATTCGGGTTTTTAGTGTTAACTAGTAAACTCACCCGTGCGATGCACGGCATGAGAATATTTTTTTAAAATTTATTTGTGCTCGTCAATTCACAATACTTTATTAATTGATGACACTATGCAACGCCATGTAATGCAGATATACATAAACGCAATAAACGAAACACACTTATATTATTATGGTGAAAATGGGAGTACAAAGCTTTACTTAAAAGTTCAAAAACATCACACAAATACGTTGAAACTGTGACCTTGTAAATATCCGTTTAAAGCAAACCTAAACATTGTTAAACACTTCTTTGAATACAACATTTTGAGTCTTGTCAATGGTTCCTTCATCTTCATCAACAATTTTAGAATTTACAAACCACACCGATTGGTCACCCTTGATACTGCAACATACAACTGTCCGTGGGTAAATACGGGTTTTTTCAACAACAACCCAACACGAGACAAAGATTGACCTTGACTTTTATTTATAGTCATAACATATGAAATCATAACAGGATATTGTCGCTTATGAAATTTAAAAGGCACGCTGGCGGATGGCGTCAAGGACGATCTAGGAATTAATACTTTTTGTCCAGCACTCACACCAATTAAAATTTTCCTCTCCAAGACATGATCACCAAACCTCGTTAAAGTAAGATGTGTCCTGTTACACAACCGCATTGAGTGATCGATATTTCACAAAAGCATCATCGGGGTCCCTACCTTTAACGTTAACTCATTATTCAGTACACCTGACAATTTTACACTATTCAAGAACTCACGTGTGTGCAGTTCCGCCGTTAGATCGGTCGAAGAATCTACCTTAGTACACTGTCAGAACTAAGATATGTTCTTGAAACTTCACCAACTTCATGAGCCGTCATATAGTCATTAACAGCTTCAACCACAGCCAGTGTCGGCACCAAAATGGCAAGGTCGCACAAACAACTCATATCACATGCAGATTCACCGTATTCCAGAAATATGCTTTCAACAATCGCAACTATAAGATCTCCATTTGTGCGTATCAATAGATCTTCACGAATAGTTATACGAACATAACCATCATTACTTTCACCTGAACATTGTCATCAATGTTGGCAATCCAATTTGAAAAGACTTTCAAATTGTAAGAATATGATGGATTAGTCATTGTTCTGCAGGCCCATATTTTTTGTCAAACGAATGACTGTGCATTCTGACCGCAACTATGATGCATTAATCGTTGCATTGACTACATCATGTCCACTCCCATGAGGTATCACCAGCAACACCTGCCGAAAGTCAAATGTTTATATAAATTAATTGAAGGTAAATTATTTATAATGACTAAGTAATAAGATGACTACAAATTTATATGAATTGCATTTTAGACGAATTGTCTCTCTAAATAGGTAAAATAAGGGAGTAAAATATGTGAAAGCGTGTTATGTCATTCTTGAATTATACTTAGCTTGAATCTAAATTTGTTGGAAAATGTTCAAATATGTGCTTCTACTATTTCTAATATCCAAGTATGGTCTGGTCTGGTTTGTTTAGGTTTGATTTGGTCTGAGACTGAAATAAGTCTAAGTATAAACATCTCAACTAATATGGTGACTATGCATTTATACGAATTGTATTTTTTACACGAATTGCCCGGGTACATTGGCAAATCAGGGGGTGTGCAAGTATGTGAAAGTGTGTTATGTCATTATTAAACAATACTCAAATCTGAATTTGTGAGAAAATGTTAGTTGGGACTGTATATGAAAAGTAATGCTATCATTTAAGCACAATAACTTTCGAAACACATTCAACAGGTAAAATCTATGGTAATTCTTAATTCAAAAATAGCCAAAAAATTAATTATATAAATATGTACTCAACAAATATAAAAGATACCTCCCCTCATTTTCCAATATTTGTTACAACAGACCAAGTGTGAAACCTCCATTCACACTTCCATATATGTTGTGTAGTCATGCCCTGTGTTACAACGCAGTACATAAGGTGACTATAAATTTACACGAATTACATTTTAGACGAATTGTCTCTTTAAATAGGTAACATAAGGGAGTGAAATATGTGAAAGTGTGTTATGTCATTCTTGAATTATACTTGAATCTAAATTTGTGGGAAAATGTTCAAATAGGTGCTTCTACTATTTCTAATATCCAAGTACAATCTGGTCTGGTTTGTTTAAATTTGGTTTGGTCTGAGACTGAAATAAGTCTAAGTATAAACATCTCAAGTAATATGGTGACTATGCATTTATACGAATTGCATTTTTTATACGAATTGCTCGGTAAATTGGCAAATCAGGGGGTGCGCGAATATGTGAAAGTGTGTTATGGCATTATTAAACAATACTCAAATATGAACAACATTTGTATTGTTGATTTCTAGTAGAGCACCTGTGCAATGCACGGCCGGAGAATTTTTCTTTCAAATTTATTCTAGAATGGCACCCGTGCGATGCACGGTTGTAAAATTTTACGGGTATAATTAATTTTAGTTAGATTTGAAATTATAAAGTAACTTATAATTTTAATTAAATCCTTTAGAATTATACTATGTACAACAATAAAATTTGACGTAAAATAAAATATATTCAATATGATTTACCAACGATTACAGAGTCGTACATATATTTTTAGGGAGAATTTGACTTTGCACCCCATGTTTTGGTTAATATTGGACTTTGCACCCCATTTTCAAAATCATTAATATTTTCACCCTATTTCACTACATACTCATTTGACTTTGCACCCCACTCTTTCACAATTTTTGAGCTAATGGGGTGCAAATATTAATGATTTTGAATATGGGGTGCAAAGTCTAATATGGTCTAAAACATGGAGTCCAAAGTCAAATTCCCCCATATTTTTATCACCCACAATAGTAAGTAGCATGCTGTATAAATATGAATTGAAAACATATTACATTCCATGTTAAGTGCTACTCCGTACTGCGTATTAAACTCTTCCTTAGAGCATCCACATTGATGATCTTCAACTTTACGGTTTTTCATGGTTTATTATTGTCATGTCACCTCCACATAAGATAATGTCAAATAATCTCCAAACCAATAAATTTCTCCTCATTCATGATCTTAATTTACCTTGGATAGGAGCATGAGCATGCACGAACTACAATTATGGTGATGAGCTAGTCATCACCATAATTATGAGTATATGCCTAGAAGTTGGAAATAATCTCGAAATAATCTAACTTTAGAATTTGATATCAAATTATTTTATCAAATAATATCATAAAATAATCTCAACTCCTCATTC